TTATATATATATATATATATATATATATGTAGAATTTTTTGAATGTGTGTGTTTATGTATGTGTGTATGTGTGTAGATGTGTATGTGTGTGTGTGTAATAATGTATGTATTTATGTATGTAGATGTATGTATGCTGTAGATGTGTATGTGTGTGTGTGTGTATGTAAGAATGTATGTATTTATGTATGTATGTGTGTATGTGTGTATGTTTTCATCTATGTATGTATGTATGCAAGTGTGCATGCATGTATGTGTGTATGTATGTATGTATTAATGAATGTGTGTACTGTGTACGTTTGTAATTGTGTATGCATTTATGTGTGTATGTTTGTATTTGCTTAAGTGTGTATGTGTGTATTTATATATATGTATTTATGTATGTGTGTATGTGTATATAGGTATGGATGTATGTATGTGTGTACGTATACAAGCGTGTATGTGTGTATTTGTGTTTTAGTACGTGTTTATTTTTTGTATGTGTATATGTAAGAGTATGATTGTATGTGTATGCGTGTATGTATTATGTATGTATGTATGTATGTATATATGTATGTTTGTATGCCTGCGTGCATGTGTGTATGTATGTCTGTATGTGTTGTGTTTATGGGTGTATTTATGTGTGTATGTTTGTATGTATGTATGTATGTATATTTTCATGTGTTCATGTGTGTATGTATGTATGTCTTTATGTATGTATGTATGTATCTATGTGTGTATATATGGGTGTGTGTGTGTATGTATGTTTCTAAATGTGTGTGTATATGTTTATGTGTGTATGTGTGGATGTGTGGATGTTCGCATATGCGTATGCATGTGTGTGTGAATGTATGTATGTTTCTTTGTATGTTTGTATGTATGTATTTATGTGTCTGTGTATATCTGTGTGTTTGTGTATGTGTGTATATATGTATGTTTGTACGGGTGCATGTTGTAAAATTTTTTTGTGGCGTCACACAATTTTTTATGCCCCTCCTCCTTTTCCTGTCACAGTGTCCCAAATTCTCAACCCTCCCCACACCCCCTGAGCGTGATGTAATTTGCGAAAAATCCCTTATTAAATTCCCCGCAGAATTCTAAAGCCTGCTAATTCTTCACCCCCGGTGGCAGCAAACACAGAAGTTGCCAGTAAAGTCATTCAGTGTTTTCAGAAAGCTGAAGCCAGAAGCAAGTTCACAGACTTTGTTGTCCTCGTCGATGATTTGAAGTTCCCCTGTCACCGCTTTGTCCTCAGTTCCTGTTCTGGGTTCTTTGAAGCACTGTTGAGATCCGACATGCGAGAAAAGTACGAGAGACAAGCCACGGTCATAGGGATCACACCGGCCGCGTTTCAACTGGTGCTGGACGCAATGTATGGCAATTGCGCTGCCTTGACAGAAGATAACATATTGGAAGTTTGGCACGCATCTAACCAATTACAGATCGAGTTCTTGATTGAAATTTGTGAAACTCATATCTTAAAATCGATTAATGTCAACAATTATTGGGATATTTACGTCAACGCCGAGTGCCTGGATTCTGTCAAAGTTATGGGCGCCGTGAAAAACTACATGGTTCAAAATTTCTTTCAAGTTGCTAGTTCTGGTGAATTTAGAAAAATTTATTTTGAAGACTTCCTGGAAATACTGCGTAGTGACAAATTGCCAGTTTGTACAGATTTTATTGTAGAGTCCATTCTGAAATGGACCAACATAACATTTGAAGGTAACACGTCGGCTAAATCTATAAATGGGAGCAAAAAAAAGGTTCAAGGGGTAGCTACAGACACGATGGTTGAAAACCGGAAAGATCGGATTGATCAACTTCTCCAAGCTGTCAAACTTCAGGACGCCAGCAAAGATTGTTTGGCCATGTTGATGACCAATGAAGATATCTTGGGCAATAGAGACGCCATTCGGGAAGTGAACAAGCACGTGGCTAAAGATTACGTCACTGGTCAGAAAAACCAGAGATTTCAGGGAAAAAGGCCGATTAGTTATTCGGCGTATATTGTTGCTCCACATTTTAGAGAAATGTTTCAAAGAATAGAGGATGCCATTGCTAATAACTGCGCTCACTGCAAAAACAAGTAGGTTTCAGTCAGGAATAGCGTTTAATGGCGGTGGTTCTCAAAGTTGTACAAACCGTCCTCTCGCCCCCCACACCCCCGTATGATGGTAGGTATAACGCTAGTGAGCTTAACGAGATCGGTGTGTGGGCAGGGCTTATCATACAAATTGGTTGTTAACGTGTAGAATACATTTTAAACAAAATATTCTATGTATTTTCCTTAATTTAATGTTGGCTTCTGCCAGAGCGAGATCGTTTTGAGCTCTAAACAAAGTTTTTTGCCACACTCCTATGTTACGGACCCAATCATACCAGGTTCGTTGGCTTCGTCGTCTAGGGAGCTACACAATTACTAAAAAAAACTTTGATTTCATAGAAGAACGTATCTTTACTAACCGTACAACACTATAACAAAACTACATTGTCAACACCATTCCTGATACTGCTGCCATTGCTCAACCACAATACACTACACAATAATACTTCATTTCCCCTTATGCAAAATACGTCACAAAATACCAAGCATTTAATAGCAACATCTACCCAAAAACTCTTTAAACCAAAAAGCAATCACAAAATACATACATGTCCCTAACATCCTATTTTAACAAACTATTTTGTTGAATCAAAAAATAATAAAGAAAAAAAATGTTTTCATATATTATGAACGAAAAAAAATGCTTAAAGATCACAAACTAAATTTTAAAAATGTTGACGTCTCCCTTGCCAAATTTTCTACTGACTGAACCCCTTTTAAAACAATTTTTAAAGCATCATTGTCAAGCACATTGAAATTCTTGATCATTCTACCAGTCTGTTTCGCGATATTTTTTAGCAAAAGTATTTTTTTTTAATCCTTTTAAAAAAATAAAAGAAAACTTACTTTTTTTTTAGCAAAAGTAATTAATTATTTTTTTTCTAAGGATTAATAAACTTACTTTTGCTATTAAAAAAATATGACGAAACAGACTGGTAGACTCTTGATCAGACTAGAAGTCTGTTTCACGGTATTTTTTAGCAAAAGTAAGTTTTTAATCCTTTAAAATTAGCTTCTTTTAGTGGCTGCCTGGTTGGCAAAAATGCTCGGACGGCCAGTTGACCCACTTCCTGACAACCGATTGAGCGGAAAAGTGGCAGATTGATGCCAATTAATAACTTTCTAAATTTCAGCACCAGCCTCAATCAACAACCCTAAAAAATCAGTTTTCCTGTATTTCAGGGAGAACATAAAGGAAATATGATGACACTCATTTCACGAAAACAAACTGTGCTAAATGAGATTTAAAAAAAAAATTTTTTAGATATCGCAAGTGCGTTTGGTGCATAATATTTTCGTTCGTTTTATGAAATAGTTTGTGAAATAAATATGTGGTGTAAAAGCGGGTGAGACATTGGAATCTTAATATAAAATTATAAAAATGTTTACAAAGGATTTATATGAAAAACTTTGTTTTTAATGGTTGTTTATTTTAATATTAAAGAATCAGTTTTGAGAAACAACGTTCACTTTCAAAATTGTATTAAATGGAACATGATTTTAATTTGTTGGTCGAATTTTGCTCTAGGTCATTGGAACTAGTCTCCAGATTTTCTGAAAATGGTTTTGTTTTTGGCGTTGGTGGCTAGAAATGTTGGAGAACCTAATTATTAAATTACAAATTTCTCATCTACATACTGGCTTAGCTTTAATTATACAGAAGCGGAATCACCTCTATCACTCTTTTCTCCGCGAACATAAGAAGTTGATTTTTTTCTAACCGGTCGTACCCAATAGGATCTTATTGCTTGGTGTGCAACTTATAAATACCATTCGATGCGTACCTGGCTAAACTGTATGTATTAGTCCCGAAATGGCCAACCATATTGAGCGTGATTCCTTCACTAGGGTTTGTAATTTAATGCCGGAAATCTATTAATAGAACATCTTGGTCCTCCATTTGGCCAATCTCTCAACAGCTGATAGGTACTTCTACGTTGATTTGAGCCGGAATAGTAGGTCCTAACCTAGACGAAAACGTGTTTACAACTTTTATTTTAGGAAAGATTTTACAAATAAATTGTTAATGATATATATATATCACACATTTATATTACTTTTTAAAATGTTATAATTTTTTTTTCTTAATTTTATTTTAAAAAATTATTAAAAATTATAATCTACGCCTCTCTTAGAAATTTCATGCATTCATCTCTGTGGTGTTACCGCCCATATAGGGCTTTGTTCTGCCTCTCTTAGAAATTTCATGGATTCATCTCTGTGGTGTTACCGCCCATGTAGGGCTTTGTCCTGCCTCTCTTAGAAATTTCATGCATTCATCTCTGTGGTGTTACCGCCCATGTAGGGCTTTGTCCTGCCTCTCTTAGAAATTTCATGCATTCATCTCTGTGGTGCTACCGCCCATGTAGGGCTTTGTCCTGCCTCTCTTAGAAATTTCATGCATTCATCTCTGTGGTGTTACCGCCCATGTAGGGCTTTGTCCTGCCTCTCTTAGAAATTTCATGCATTCATCTCTGTGGTGCTACCGCCCATGTAGGGCTTTGTCCTGCCTCTCTTAGAAATTTCATGCATTCATCTCTGTGGTGCTACCGCCCATGTAGGGCTTTGTCCTGCCTCTCTTAGAAATTTCATGCATTCATCTCTGTGGTGTTACCGCCCATGTAGGGCTTTGTTCTGCCTCTCTTAGAACGTTTATCTCTTCATCTCTGTGGTGTTACCACCCATATAGGGCTTTGTCCTGCAGCACTTAGAAAGATAATAGTTAAACCTATTTCATACAAAATTGCCTTTTTATGTCTCAATAATAAATAAATTACACTCTTAGTCATAATTCCCATAACTTGCTTGTATTTCAGACCAAGGAAAGCTGATGCACGCGGTGTGTGGTGAAAACCACGGAACTCACCTTTACAGTTAAATTTGTACAACTTTATTAATTAAATGTATTAAAACTGGCATAACTGATTTAAATCTGAATATTGTCAAGTATAATCATTTAAAATGTGTAATACTTAATACATTTTTTAAAAACTTATACTGTTAAAAAAATGCGTCCACCACTGACGCCAAAGAAGAAAGCGCTTTTGAGTAAAAGCGTAACTTTATTTTTATTCTTTATATAGTCTATATATATATATACTATATTTTTTTAAAAGATTTTTTTTCCTTTTATCTTTGAACGTTGAAAATTGTTAAATTTGAGATGCATTTATCTGCTATATATTATATGCCTACCCTACTCCTTTTCACGTTCCTAAACTACTTTTTCCCCATCGATACATGACCTTAAATTACCCAGTCTAAATTATCACTAATTAAATCACGTTTGAACCCAAAGAAGTTAATTGAGGGACAATTACTAAGCTAGAGAAATACTTTAGATTACAACTTGTTTTCTCTAAAAATTGTTAAAAAACCTAATCTTATATTTACAACAAAAACTCTAGATATGATATAAAAATATTTTATATTATAGGAATTCTATATATATTGATATCTTCATCAAAAATTTAAACACATTTTTGCCATTTTTTTAAAATTATATATTGTCAGAAACTCGTAAAACAAAGAATTCTTTTATCTAAAGAAGAATCTCGCAACCATTTTTTAACTCCTATAACAGACATGAGTGTCTTTTTACAAAATTTAAATTGTTAATCTCATAAAAATACACATATCTTTACTTTTTGCAAAGTAAAAACAAAAACATATTTTCATTTTATGAACGTAAATATTAACCCATCTGTATTTTTCAAAATTAATTCTTTCAAGTGTGTATAATGATGGGTTTTGATATTCATGGGTATAATTAATAAAATGTATCCAAGATTTGTTAACGCCAGCGATTTTCTTAATTGGTAAACATATGTTTATTTGTAAAAAGAGATTTTATCATCTCCTTTTGACAAATTTAATACCATAGGATTTAAATATATTGTCATCCACGTAAAAATATACAAATCTTATTTCCTAACTCCGTCATGTGTGTACCCAAGAAGGTTAATTATTAATCATATTCATTCCTTTATATTGAGACGTATCTTGTATTGCCCTGGGCAAAATGAACATACCCATATTTGTAAAAAGAGAATTTAACATCTCTTTTTTCACAAATGTAAAACCATAAGATTTAAATATATTGTCATCCACGTAAAAATGTACACATCCTATTTCCTACCTCCGATGTGAATGTGTCTTAGAAGGTTAATTGAGGAGTCCAATTGCAAACCCTGCCAAGTCACTTTAGATTGATTTTGAGAAAAACACATTTTTCTAAAACACAATGATGCGCTAATCCTAGGATTCTGGTTTTTGTTCCAGTTGTAAGATTAGCTGTAAATTATATATTTTTTTAACATTAAAATATAGCTAAATGGGCATTTTTGCATTTATAATGCATTATAAAGTTATTACTTAGCAGGTTTTGAAAATGGTTTACATACTTAGCAGCTTTTGAAAGAGATTAAAAATATACTTAGCAGCTTTGAAAGAGATTAAAAATATACTTAGCAGCTTTGAAAGAGGTTTAAAATACTTATGAGGATTTGAAATTGGTCTAAATCACTTTGGAAGTTTGACAGCCCACAACAAATTGAAAAAATATAGAGGGGGGGGTGCTCTTTTACATTTTCTTTAAACTGTACTGCATGATTTTAATGAACCTTAGTCTTATATACCTTA